TTTAGTTAAGGACATTACGTTTTTAATATAAAAACGTATGTACCACTTATATATGTATAAACATAAATTATTGTACTCCCTAAAAATGAATTAGTCAAAAATGACTAATTGTCGTAGAGAAAAAGCAGCCACTAATAATTCTCGTCAATAGCAATTTGTATCCCGAACATTAAGCAGTCAATTTCCCTGTAAAATTGTCCCCTGAACCCGAAAATGCCGTCAAAAGTTAAAAAAGTTGAATACTTTTTGAGACATAGTCAATTTTTCATATTATATGGAATTAAAAAAGCAGCCACTACCCAGACTGCAATAAAGGTTTGAAAATATACCATAAATATGCCCTATCGCCTAGGAATAATCCGCTTCATTGTAGGAATATTCATTTAGAATATTTCATAAAATGATCCTCTAAAACTTCCAAATACCATCTAAGAACATTCCCAGTGAATATTCATTAGTTTAGTTGCAATACCTCTCACCGTTGCTTACGCACGCTTGATAACTGTATATACCGATAGGTTAAAAATATCAGTTGGAGATGTGCGTCTGTGATTGAACAGCTAAACAATGATTAGTGTGAGACTCTACTTAGTAACTAATTATGGCTAGTTAAGTTAAGTTCCTGGGTATAAGTGGCCATAAGGGCTAGAAGTAATCCCCTTAATATATATATTAAGGGACATTCTACTAACAATACTTAAGTCTTATGCATGCCGCTACATGGAATATTCTTTTTATGATGACTGAGCGGACATTTGATTACGCCAGGAATATTCCTGACATGTGCAGGGAATGATGTTTTGCGGTCTGGGTAATAACTGTACAGTACTAACTAGTCATTTTTGACTAATTCATTTTTAGAGAGTAGGTAGGTACTATTTAACACAATTTTTTAAGAGTTGCATTTTAAAGTTATTTTACCATTTTACAAAAAAAATTAAAGCTGGTTTAGTAGGTTTTTTGTTTGTAGGCACAAAGCATAGTAAAATTTTGTTGGCCCATTATTAATATAATATTCTTTTTAAGTTAATATCTTTTATATGCTTTCAAAATTAAGTTTATTATTAATGAATTGCAATAATTATAATTATAATTATTGCAATTCATCTGTTAATAATAATAATTAACAATTAATTGTTAATTATAATAACTAAAAGCTTGATACAAGATTGAATGCCAGAAGTGTTTCAAAGATTTGGAGAAGTCCTGGCATAAGTGTGCATATTAATATAATAATATATTCAAAAAAAAGAAATGTCCCTCATTTTATGAACACATCTCGTATAGTATACCTATAGGTATATTATATATACCGTATATATATATATATATATATATATATATATATATTTGTATTTACCCAAACAGATTATTTACTACAAATTAAAGTGAATAGGACGTATTATCGCATTAATTTGTTTTCCAAACTATAATATACAAGATAAAACTACAACATACCTACATTGGATAGACTGGTATACATATATGTTGGCCTAACATAGAATAAGATTGAATTTCATGTTAAATTAAGTAAGTACTTTTAAAGCCTGATATCACTCAAAAAATTACTCTGGCATATATTCAGTGTTTCATATAGATGCGAATTGCGAAAAATTAGTCCATTTGATTTGGCAGAAAAAGCGTTTCGACAGATCCTGCGAATTTGCAAGATTTGAATCTAGGGGGCGGGAATCTTGAGATGGATCCAAAATTTTGCAAAAATCGCACTAATTTGGAGTCATGCGCATGCACATTAATGCAATTGAGGCGTTTCTCGGAAAAACATCATTAGTCCAATATCGTCGAAATTTAGATATTTGCACCAACTGTTTCCTAACCTCCATATATACGTATACAAATAAGTGTTTCTCGTAAAAATTTCATAGGTTCCATAATAATTAAATGAAATGAAATTTAGCTTGTTCTTCTAAAAACATCACAAGTCCACTCTGTTTCGTCTAAGAAAGTCATATGTTCATAACATATGTGACATTTTTGGACACTCTAGAAAAGCTTCTACCTCTTTTACATGACCACAGCAATAGAAAATTTTATGATAACTTGATAAAAGACCCGAAGACCATAGCACCTGACAGTCCTGATAACACGGTCGACAACGATAATAACAGCAGTGGATGCGAAGACTGAGTGTGGCAGTAATACAGTTTTTAGTTGTTTCATTTTATTTTGTTACTCAGAGTTAATATTTTGTTTGTAGTGTTTGTAGTAAGGAGAATTGTTCGTTTTTTCTTCTAAAAACCTCACATGTTCATGTATTTTTTGTGTTTTTTTCATATTCGTTCGAAAAAACAAACATGAGGAATTCTGGACGAATTATCTTACATTTTTTTACATGTAGTAAATAGGTCAATAAATAACTTTGGTCAAAAATGGGAATGTCGGAGAGTTTTTTTCATTTTCCCAAATATGTTAATTTTGGACTAATGATGTTTTTCCGAGAAACGCGTCAATTGCTTATCATACCTACGCCATTTATGTTTATTTGGTTTGTATCATAGTGTTTGTTTTATTAAGTTTTATTTGAACTCTTGAAATAAATGTTTGAAGTTTTTGTTTTGTTTTTTATAATGGACAAAGAGTTTTTTGAGGTACATTAATGTTTATTATTTTACCTTTATAAGTCACTTTAAGTAACTTTAGTACCTAAAATAGCATATTGAGAAAATAATGTCCCCAAAATAGTTCGCATTTATATGAAATAGGAGTTGCGAAATGCGAATATTTGTATTTCGCATCTAAACTGCGCACCACTCAATGTGTCGCGACCAAACCCAAGCAGCATTTTAAGTTTAAATAACTACAAATTTACTACTAAGTCAACTTTAAAGTATTTTTTACGGTTAACCAAAACGGTTTTATAACGGTATAGATACGAAAAATTACCAAATTTGGGGAATGGTTTATTTCGTTATTTTACCCACATAATAACCTTTTTGATCTACTAAGAGAATTACGTAATAAAAACAATATAAATACCACAAATTTACGTAAAAATAACGCTATAATTACTAACTGTTTGCTCTCTCTTTCTTAAACATTGATATTCGTAATTTCTTTGTTCTTTTAATTTATATTTTACAAAATGGTAGGTACTTAAGTAATTACAAAGTAATAAAGGCCACCCTAGAGTAAAATTAAAAAATATAACTTAAATTGTCAAAACCATTGATATTTTGCATTAAAACTCAAACGCACATTATTTTATTGATAAAAATAGGTATGATACGTCTTAAAAATTATATGCCCTCTAAATATTTTACGGTTTTAAGAAAAATTATTGCTTGGGTAAAAATTCAACAAAACTTAAAACCTACAAAATTTTATAAAATCTTTTAAAAATCATTTAGTTTTAATCATTTTTTAATAACTAAAACTTTTCTTATTATATTTTAGAAAGATATCCATGAAAAAATATTATATAAATGTTTAGATAAGTAATGGATGCCATCTTAAAAAACTCATTATGGCGGCCTAAAAAAAAATTCCCGCAAAGTTTTATTTTTCACTTTAAGCTTATTCTTCCTTGTTTAGTCAATATTATTAGTATTTATTACCCACTAATAACCCTAAAAAATACCAGGCGAATAGGAATTATTTACGGTTATAAAGTGGTCTTAATATCGTAAAATTATGACTTATGAGTAACATTTACCATTAAGTAAAAATTCTGACGTTAAAATTACCGTTAAATTTTCCTTTAGGTAAAATACACTTATAAGTAATTTTCTTTCGTGAAAATTACGTCCCTCATAATACTTTAAAGTGTTGAAACTTAAGGGTTATTAAAATAGGTAAAAATAACATAAATAAAACGTATATTATAACTTTAAAAAAAGTTTTACTTCAAAGTAAATTTTGAAGGTTAATTTAAATTGTTAATTAACAAAATATTTACTTAAATTAAGTAGTATTGCCTCAAAGCTCTACGCTTTTACTTAAAATGCTGCTTGGGAAAAGTTCGTTCTTTTTCAAAACGATATAACTTTTTTGTTTTTTGAACGATTTTATTTTGGTCTGTGATGTCTCCTAGCCCCTTCCTCTGGCAATTCATGATATAGATATGAAGCTCAAGGTTCTTCAAGTAAATTTCCTACAGGGTGATATTTTAAACAGTGAAAATTTTCAATAACTTCATCCAAGCCCCGTTTGTAAAAAAATAATTTTTATCTCGTTTTTACTTTGAAATAATGAAGTATTATGTCTTACCTTGAAACGTTTTTAAAATTTTTCGAATTGGAATCGTAGCAACGAAAATATGATTTTTTTTTCTAAAAGAGTACATTTATGTAGGCAATTTAACAGCCGGGAATTGTTTTCGAATTTTGATTCTTAGTGATTTTGGTTTTATCTGAAACTTAAATTTGACAACTGAATCACAAGCAGGAGGTCAAAATTATAAAGAAAACATGTCAAGAACGTAAATATCGGTTCAGAATTGGTTTTCGCAAATTTCCACCAAAATATCATTTTAAAAAAGTTGTCTTTGCTTAGGCCCCTCTGAAAATAATGGAAGTTTGTTGCTTGTCGCTTTTTCAGAATTAATCAAGGAACAATCTTTCACCATCTTATCTCCTTGTTCTTAAAAAGACTAAGTGTATTGCCTACCAAAAAGTCTTAAATGTACTCTTTTAAAAAAAAATCATATTTTCTTTGCTAAGATTCCAATACGAAAAAATTGAAAATGTTTTCAAGGTAAGACATAATACTTCATTATTTCAAAGTAAAAACGAGAAAAAAAATATTTTTTTACAAACGGGGCTTGGATGAAGTTATTCAAATTTTTGACCGTTTTACATATCACCCTGTACGAAATTTATTTGAAGAACCGTGAGCTTCATATCTATAGCATGAATAGCCAGAGGATGGGGCTAGCAGAAATCACAGACCAAAATAAAATCGTTCAAAAAATAAAAAAGTTATGTCGTTTTGAAAAAGGACGAACTTTTTGGTCGCGACACATTGAGTGGTGCGCAGTTTATATGAAACCGACTTTAGTTTTACGAATCCAACGTATCAGTTTACCCAGCGTACTAAAAAACACAACTTCTTAACTACAGCAGCACAGTCTCTATAATAAATCTACGATCTCTACCTGGGCATGCACAACAACAGTTTAGGCAGCACTAGCAAAGCGGCCGAGATGGCGGTCAGCGTGGCCACCAGGTGGCGCGAATCGCGCGGCAGCGGCATGCCGCGCGACCCGTTGCACATGTCCTCCTCACAGAAGCACATGTGACCCGTCCCGCTACTTTCCATCATGCACACGTGATCCACCATGAAGAGGTTGATTTGCAGTTGGGATGTGCACGTCCTTCGGACCACCTCGTATGCTGGAAAATAAAGATGAGCCAAGATTGAAAAGATTGCTAATCAAGTTAAAAAACTACTAATTTTGACATTTTTAAAGTGTTATAACATTTTAAAATGTGGTATTGATATTCTCAATAAAAGTAAAATACCTACGAAAATTAACTTACTTAAAAGTAACTTAGTTACTTTGGAGAAGTATCTTGTAACTTGTATCTAAAAAAGTTACTCGGTAAAGTATTAACTACTTATATTAAGATACATTCAAGTAACTTAGATACTTTTTAAAGTAACTAGTTATTAAGCTAAGATACTTTTTAAAGCAACTTTTCAGTGAAACTTTCTTAGAGAAAATTGGGGGACTTTCAGAATGATTCAAAGTAATTACCTAACCTACAACGTTGTAGGTGAAAATAAAGCGTGCATGAAAAGTGTGCAATAAGTGTGTATTTGGAGTGCAAGTCTTTATAACAATGTGCATACACGCTACTTTGTGGTAATTTCACACTTTTTGAAATAATTAAGTTTTTTCACTCTTTATGTACATTGACATCACGCTTTTTATTTGTCATATGTCACGCTTATAATACATTATATTTTAGCACATTGTTTGCACAGTGTTGGTACATTGTTTAAAGACATTTTGCAAAGCTTCAGTCTATCTTACGCATGTCACATTTTATACACACTGTTAGCACGCTTTAATATTTCTCATTTATGACGCTTATATTACACCTTTTTATAGCACATTGTTTGTACAGTTTTAGCGATCACTCAACAGTTTAAGCACATTTTAGATATATCTCGCTTGAGTTGGGGTACAACATTTATTTAAAAGGTGAGGTAGATTCCATCTTATGTATCGCTTCTCGGCCTATTGCTAAGATCAAAGCAATCCCCTTCGTGGAGTTGACAGTGCAGGTATTTTTCTTAATAAAATACAGTATGTAGGACCTACATTGTGGGTATTTTTTTTAAATTTTTTTGAAAAAAATATTTATTTGATTAATATTATTATAAGGATATTTATATTTCAATTATGTGTAAATTTAAAAGACTTTATAGGTCACCAAAAAGAATCTGTTTTTGTAATAGGCACACAGGTGGCAAGAAACAGTGTGCAAACAATGTGAAAAATCAAAAGGAGTTCCCTTTAGAACATTGTCCAGTGATTATTCACACTTTCAAATTTTTGGTTTTGCACATTGTTTCATGTTCCATTTCCCACCCTCCGCACATAATTTTTTTAAAAGATTGCATATTGTTGGCACATTGTTCTCAAATAATTTTGCACACTTTTTGCACATTTCATTTTCTCCAGGGACTTGTTGAATTTTCATAATTTTATAGTTTTTATTCATACTTAAAAGTAACTTAGTTACTCAAAAGTATTTTAGTTACTTAAAAGTATCTTAGTTACTCAAAAGTATCTTAGATACTTTCATATAGTATCTAAGATACTTTCGGATAGTATCTTAGATACTTTTTAAAGTATCCTGTAACTAAAGATACTTTTAACTCAAAGTATCTAGTTACCGGAGGTAACTAAGTTATTTTGTTTAAAGTAACTAGATACTTTTCAGAAGTAACTTTCCCAGCTCTGTTTACAAAGAAGCTAAGCCATATAGTGTCTGTATACGGAAAATTTAAGTGTAAATCAGATTCTACGTACAAAAATATTTTTAGATGGTTAAGTAAACGTGCAAAAACCATTGCTTGTATTTAAAGTACCGTAAACACGGGTGGCTTTGGCTCACTTTCAAACTTCAGCTTAAAATTTTTGTGGTTTTAACAATCATAAACATTAAATTTTGTATACCAAAATTTGAGTCTTGAGTTGCTCTTTCATAATAACTATGTTATAATATAACATAGGGCTGAGTTTCAAAAATAAACATTAAAAACTGGGTGTGCAAAGTTACCCCCTGGTTGCGGGTTACTTTGTCTCACAGTGTTTTTTCAGTATAAAATGAATGTAATATTATATTTTATTTTTATTAGACACGTGTTAGCAGCGACATATATCTATTGCAAGGGATTACCAATAAAAAAAATAAAGAATCGACCTGTAGTTAACCAAGGATCATCATTCCAATGGATTGCGCATAATATAGAAATTTTAACGCGTGTATTTCTAGAGTTTTGCACTGATACGATATATACAATTTTTAAGTGTAATAAATCCCATTTCTTTTTTTAAAACACTGATTTTCCTGTAATATAAACTCAATAGAATCGCTCAATTGACAGGTTTAGACCAACAAATTATAAATGTTAATTTTATCGAGCGCGAAAAGATTTTTCATAAATGGGTTAAAGTCACCCGCGGGGTGCAAAGTCACCCGTATTTACGGTACATAAAGAGTTGAATTAATATTTTTATTGTTGTTTCAACAGCTTATTTTTTTCAGTGCAGTGTGCTACCTGGGAAAGTATATTTATATACATTGCCAACATAATCAAATGTGTAAAATTTGCTATTTATAGAAACACATTGACGACCAAATTATGATGCTAGAAATTCAGTGTCCACCACTGTACGTGGTTAACGTCTATAAATCCTTGGTTCAAAATATATATATTAAGATCAAGAAGACAAAATAAAGGAGGAGTAACTCAAGGCATAATATATACCTATGTTACGCTAAAAACGTGCCTACGGGTGTGCGCACGAGCATTTTGCGCATCCGTACACTAAAAAAAATAAGCTGTTGAAACAACAACAAAAATAATAATTCAACTCTTTATGCACTTTAAATACAAGCAATGGTTTTTGCACGTTTACTTAACCATCTAAAAATGTCAAATTGTATTGTTTAATTGAACAACAAAAATTAGTCAAATGAACAAAATAAGAATATTTGTTCTAATCTGCTAATCTGGTTAATTAAACATTCTTGAAATGTCCAGGTAACCTTTTTAGTATATTCACTTAACACCAATAAAATGTTAAATTAAAATAATTTGCGCTAATGTTGAGTTAACATTCTGAAAACATAAAAGTAACATTCTTTAAAGGTTGGTATTAAAAAAAAAATATGAATTAATATAAAGAGAAAGAATTGAACCTTCCCTTGCAAGAGTTTTTGTTTTAAGTGCGTTTTACCTATATTGGGGGTCTTATCAATGTCGGGTAATTTGGTGTAGTGGAAGTTCCACTGTGGAACACACCGAAAACAAACGGCTACCTGAGCTTATATTCTCCTATCGTAAGCCAACTGAGGCAAGATGTAAGAAAATCACGTGATCAACACCGTCTAATGACGTGGCGTGGGTGTTCGAAGCGCCCTTCACGGCAGTTTTATGAATGCAAAATTAACTAATTTTAAAGTAACATTTACAACTTGTTAAATGAACAAATTTAATGATTTGGATTTAAAGAGCAACTAAACGTTAATTTAATAGTTTTTTTAGGTAATCCTAAAAATTTCAGTATTTGATTCAACCAATTCTAGCTATTAAATCAAAAAAAGGATAAACATTTTAATTCAAAAAACTAGTTTATGTTAAATCAATATTTTAACTGTCAAATGAACAAATAAACTTTGACACCAAAATATAGATTTATCCAATAGGTTTTTTGATGAAACAACATTTTCAAAAATCACATTTAGGCAAACGTTAACTAAACTACATTACTTTTTTCGGTACTGATGTCCGTACGTTTTTTTGGAGTGCCCTCACCTAGTACTTCTGCATTTAGTCTTCTTGATATAATCCCGGCGCATTCACCATTTTGTAAAGTTTAATAAATGGCGAATGCTGCGGGATTAACTATAGAAATGTATTCTAATGAAATTTATTTTATTAATCCAAATAAATTCTTAAGTCGCCATTTTAAACTTTTATAACAAACTTTACAATCATACTAGGTGTGTACAAGTAACAAGTAAATAAATATTCACATTTTTTTAAGTTCTGTTAAACTCTTAAATATTTTTCATAAAAATAATAATAATAGGTACTGAAAAACAATTAAAAAATTTACGTCATTCAAAATGCTGTAGAATAATATTTTTAGACTATCAAATAATAAGGGTTTTTAGGATACATAAACGATATCTATGTTAACCCAGTTAAATGTTGTGCCAACTTTGTGCGCCTTTTTAGCAACCTATTGACTTTGAAATTGCATGAGAATCTAAAAATATCCATAAAACAGGAAATATTAATAATTTCCTATCTAGTATAAAAAAACAAAACTATAAATTCTAAGGTTTTCTTTAGAACAAGTTAAGCCGATTATTTTCACAAGATTCTCGCCTTGGCAACTTTGATAGTTTTGTTAGACTAATTAAATTACGGATGGTATGTATGTACGAAAGTTTTATGTTATTAAAATAGACAATTCCTGACATGTTATGTAATTAATTTGGATTCCTTGATAAAAAAATAAACTTTTCTTTTTCAAATGTACTTATGCTTTAAGGGTTTTTTTTTAACTTATAAGAACACTAAGGAAACGAAATATTAAAAACTGTTTTATTGGGTATGCTTTTGAAAAATTGGATTATGGCGTACCTTCTAGATTTTGTTTCTGTTACCTTCATGTATCTGTATTGAGTGTGAAAAAACTAGTATTTACAAAGAAAACAAAATTGTGTTTTAAGTTAAATTTAGTGTTTAAAAGTTATTAAACAAAAACTATTGTTTTTTTTTAATTTTGTTTAAAAAGGTTTAAAAATATTTTTTCATAATTTTATAACTTGCAGAATATTTTTAAAGTAAACTATTTTTATTAAAAATTAACTTATCTAGAAAAAAATAGGTCTGGTGGTTAGGATACGTAGCTCTTATTATGACAAACGTTTTTTAAAACCTTTTCCCCGGATAGGTACCGGAATACTTTTTAAAAAAGTACAATTTAAAATTTTTTTTTTTAAGTTGAACTTTAGTTGAGATTATATTTGAAAAGCTTAAAAGCGTTGTATACATTTATGCCAAAAGTAAAGAAACATTTTTTGTAGATTAATTCATTTCCAACAAAATTCTATCTATTCTGCAAGTTTTGGAAAGAAATATATCTTTTGAATGGCTAGGTTTACGAAAAAAAGAGCAATCAATTCTTGTCTATGATTTTTTACGCAACCTTTATGTCACTGTGTAAGTATACTTTTTCAAGTTTCATAAACGCCATTTTAGTTACGAGTTTTATTAGGTGTTAGGTTGTTAGTGTTTAATAAACGAATGTCTAGAGAAGTTTATAAAACGAGTTGCATACTATACTTTATCTACGACGAATGTTATTGTTATTTGTTAAACATCTATCAACTTTAAACGGATTTAACCTCACTTTTCTCTAATTTATAATAAAGCTTACTTCAGATCGTAAATAAATTGCCCCAAGGCCACTATTGCTAACTTTAGCCCGTGACTAAAACGCCATAAAGTCACAGCTCGTCAATGTAGGAGTAGAATCTACTCGTACTCAGTAGATAATAGTATATTATGTATCAAGTTTGATAAACGCCATTTTACACACGAATTTCATTTAGGCACGAGCGAGCTTGCGAGCGAGTTCTTAAATTAATGAGTGTATAGAAAAGTTTATAAACGAGGTGCATACTATACTTTTTCTACGACAAATACTTATTATTATCTTAAAATGATTTAAATCAAATATTTTTATGGAGCGCCATCTATGAAACAATAGGGAAATCTGTGTGTCACCGTCAAATGTCAAATTTTTATATTTTATAAACACAGATTGTAAAGGTTATGAATCGAAAGGTATTTTTTGAAAATGGACAGTTTTTTACAGTGAAAGTAAAAAAAATGTTTTATGAGCACTTTACAGTGGTCCGTGTCCGAATTTAACTTATAGTTTACTGCCGGCGAAATTAAAAGGTCAGTACAATGTTCATATAAACTTTTCAAATATTGGCGTTAAGAAACTATTTAATACTTTTGTGTTTTTTTTTTGAGATAATAAAATAATTTTCACATGTAGTATTATTTTAAAAGGCACTTTATTTTAACGATTGTATGACATTTGACAACTATCTTAAAACTAACTTCAGCCCGTGATTAAAACGCCGTAAAGCCACAACTTGTCAATGTGTATTTAAAAGGTCACTTAGTGTCATGGAAACATGTACGATAATGGTCGTTTTAAAGGTGGGAGTAGAAAAAATTAATAGTGGCTAACCCCGGCGCATTCGCCATTTTTTAAACACTGAATGAATTTTATAATAAAAAAAATACTTAACTGAGGTATTTTAAAAAATACATGAAATGTTAATTTTTTTTGTAAATATCTATAAAGTTTGCCGTGGGAATGTAAAAAAAATTGGTATGTAGAATGGGTCATTCCATATACATAATAAATATTATGTGTTATGGACTTATCCGACATTTTTGAAGCCTTCTTAACGCAGGATTCGGAATGAGGATTTAGCATAGAAAACGAACCGACCGACATAAGACAGAATTGACGCGTCGGTGAGTCAGTGTGTGCGTGTGTTGCATCAAAGATAGGTTTTAAACTGTTTTAAGTATAAGGAGAGCATAAAGCAGGTAGCGTCCACAGTAGGATGAATTTAATAAACGGTAGGACAAATTCGCACAGTGGAATATTTATAAAAAAGGTAGGGCACAGTTTCAAACATTTTCAAGATTTTTAAAATGCCTAAAATATCAAAATATTTTTAAAATTTAAATAAAAAGAAAGTTTTAAATTAATTAATAATTAAAACCATAAGAAGAATAGTTTTTATCGTGAGTTCACCAACTGATACATGTTTAAGCAAATTAATATTTTTACAATGGGAGTAAAGTAAAGTAAAATTATAATAAAGTGTGATAATAATTGAAAATAATTATGAATTGGCTTACGGGACTTCGCGTTCCTGACCATTTTGACGCAGCATCCGTTGCAAGTCATCAGAGGGGGCTGGTCCCTAGGTAGAGCAGTGTAGTTAAAGGGGTCTTTGCACCGCATATCCGACCAACTGTCGCACTCGTAACAGTAGATCTGTCTTGCTGTAATTTTACACACAAACACTGGCTATACAATTTTTTTCAACATATTTTTTAAACAACAGTTTTACGACATTCCTTTTTTTATTGTTGCTTGTAAGGTGTCATGCGTCAGAAATAGGATGAGTCAAATTTTTTAAATGTTGGTTTCTAAACAGTTTATAGATTTTTTTATAAAACATAATTAAAATTCAAATAAAACCCTACACAATATTATACACAAAAACAAAAAAATAAAAAAATCGCACAATGAAAAGGCAAAAAATTCTTTTTTTAAAAAAAATGTAATTAAACCACTTATAGTCTATTCTGTAACTAGTTTTATAAACGTAATTTAATACACTCGTGAGTTTAATTATGCACGAGCGGAGCTTGAGTGATCTTGAGAAGTTTATAAAATGAATTGCATACCATACTTTATCTACGGCGAACACAAAGTATTGATTATTTTTAGCAATCTGACATCTGTCAGACGGGTTTAACCTTACTTTTTTCCAATGTGACATCTGTCAAACGGTTTTAACCTTATTTTTTTCAATTTAATGCACTATTTAATTAAATAACTTATACACTAGTGTATTAAATGTAGGAGTAGATAAAAATATAAATAAATATTATATTCGTAAAATATATTAAAATTATTCAGAATTATGGCAGAAAAAAATATATTATTGAAGACCTCGGAAAAATGCCTTGATCAGTTTTTATTTATTTTATTTAGATAGTCTAGTCGAATTTGGGTTTTACTTTTAAAAAAATCCTAGCTAAGATTTTTTTTTCGGAATATTCAAAACCAGTAACTTTTAAAAGTTCTATAGGATTTAAAAGTTATAAAATTAGCTTTTTATGAAAAATAAAATGATCTACAAAAAAGTCCTATGACATTTTGTAATAAATCCGACACAAAAAGTAAGAAAAACTTAATATTTACTATAAATTCTATTTAAGCTTGAATAACTTTTGAACAAGTACTTAGATTTACCATAAAATTATAAAAAACCATTTTTGTAGAGCGTTTATAAATCACTAGAACATATCTGGACGAATCTTAAGAAATGTCCCCCGATGGTGTTACCCCGTGATATTTAATAAAACTAAATGAGTTTGACCTACACTTTTATTGTGTTTTGATCTTTCATAATTAAGTAGATATTACAGCTCAGGTTCCAGATTTTTAACCGCAATTAATTATTTTTTACAATGTTTTAAAAGTCTAAAACCTATCCTCCGTGACTGTTACTCTTTCTAGGTTAACCTATATGTTTTCAAATATCTGAGGTAGTAAAAGCATACAAAAAATATCACTTCACTAAGTAAATTAAACACATCCAAAGCAATCGAATCAAATATAAAATATTATTAAAAATTAAAAGAAATAATTTTTATAGCCATTTATGTAGGTGTTACAAAAATTGATTCTATCCTCCGTGAATCTGTTTTTGCTTTAAATTTTATGCAACAGATGGCGCTTTAATCATTTTAAATTTATTTTATAAGCAAAAACCTCTCTTTACGACATTATAGATGCATGTGATTCCTGAAGGTTAGTTAGAATTTATATGCAGATGATAGTGTTGCTGTTTTATAATTCAAAAGTTTAAGTTCATTAATTTGCTATTTAAAAACCTATCCACCGTGTAATATCTCAATAGATTTTTTTTTTTAATATTTTATGTGATACGTTAAATAATAATAATAATAATACATACTATGCACAATTGTATTTTTAAAAACTATTAAGGTGTCAAAAGATACAATAACTTATTTCAAATATACAAAGGGATGTTTAAAAAAACATACGAAATCCTAACCTCCGTGAAGCTCTAATATTCAAAATGTATGAATTCTTCAAATTCTTGCATTAGTGCAGAACCACTTATTATTACTAGACCTGATGGCTTCCCAAAACCCCCATTCTAGACTAACAGCTGTTTCACTAGTGAAACAACCAAAAATAAAAAATAATCATTTTCACTTGGGGGACATCTTATGACAACCGGACCCTCCGCACCCGCGAAATTTAACAATGATTTTCTGAACACACCTCGTATTTCTTAATTTCACCTTATTGTCAAACGCGTGTTAGAAATGCTCTTTTACTCATAAAATAATAAATACCAGATAAGTCACTTGGGGGACATCTCAATATATTCACCCATCTGTTCTGATCATCCGTTATCAACTTAATTAATTTTGAAGTTTATTTTGTTTGTATGTTATTTAAATAGGAAATTACGACAAGGGACCTACAATTTTAATAAGATTAATTTTTAATTTAATTTTTTTTTAAATTTTTACCGCGTAGGGTGCCCTGGATCGGGCGGGGCCCAGGGCTGCAGCCTTTAAAGCCCATACCTAAATCCGCTCATGGGTACTCCTATTAAATAATTATTTTTGTTAATTATAATTATTAATTTATTTGCTATTTATTTTCGCTGAAAGAAATAAGGTAGAAATTATTTAATTGGGAAAAAGTGAGGTTAATTCCTTTTTAAATATGATAGGTAAATGGCAGGCGACTATAATTTTGGAATAAACTTCGTCATATCAGTTCTTGTAATTGATCAGCTGTATGTTATTGTTAATGTTAATGATTTACGTTTATTTGATTGGACAAAGTAATATGCAAAACTCGTAAATATGGTCGATTCTAAACTCGCATTCTTGCTCCTCTCTCTTCGCTCGCGCATCAAACGAATCGTTCAGAATCGACCATTTTCTCCACTTGCACAATATACTATTCCATATTTGTTTTCTTGGGATTTGAGGTTTAGTATAATTATAATTAATTAATAATTATTATTCTAAACCCATTAGTATAATCGGTTTTTACAATTTTGTGATATACTGCAAAGAATAATATTGTATTATATATTATAATTTCTATCTAATCATAAAAATATAGAACATTGTAAAAAAATTAAAAAAAAAAATAAAAGAAAATTTTATCAACTAAGTATCAATACGAGGTGTGTTCAGAAAATATCGGGAATTTTCGTTTTTTGAAACAAATAATTATTTATTCGTCTACATTAATGTTGTCGCCTTCAAAATAGTCCCCATTGGATATTATGCACATGTGCCAGCTCTTCTTCCAATACTCGAAACACTTCTAAAACTCGATCTTTGGGATAGCCTTTAGTTCTTTCAGCGATGCGCTTTTAATGTCATCTATGCTTGCAAAACGACAGCCCTTTAAGGTTCTCTTTATTTTTGGGAATAGAAAAAAGTCAGACAGAGGCATGTCTGGCGAATATGGAGGCATCATCATTACAGTATTTTTTTTGGCCAAAAATGTTGTTCAAAATTTAACAATTTTAGAACAAATTTTGCTGTCACGCGTTTCATACCCAAAACATTCGAAAAAATTTCATGGGATGAGCCAATCGATATACCAACATCACCAGCGACTTCTCTGATGGTTTATAACCATTTCTTCCACTTTTTCCATGTTTTTATCGGTTGTTAATGTGCTTGTGAGTTCGGGGCGTTCGTCATCTTCAACGTCTTCACGGCCATCTTGAAAACTCTTATACCACTTGTAAAATCTTGTTTTACTTATAGCAGACTCAATATAGGCCTTTGTTAACATTTATTTCATTCTTTAAGCAAAATTGGATACAAATTCTTTGATCCATTTCTTTTAACGAACGAAAAATCGCCGAGCTCATAAAACACGTCTGCCACAGACAAAGTAAACAATGAAAACAGCTAAAATTTGTATCATACTTCGGGGGCATGTATACCAACATACTACAGAAAATTTTATGACAACCGGACCCTCAGAACCCTCGAAATTTAACAATTCCCGTTATTTTCTGAACACACCTCGTATTTCTTAATTTCACCTTATTGTCAAACGCGTGTTAGAAATGATCTTTTACTCATAAAATAATAAATACCAGATAAGTCAAAACATCGGTATGAAAAACGTATAGTTTTCAAGAAGTGGTTTGTCGAAAGCAAAACAAAAAAATCCTTTTGTAGTTATTTTTAATGTAAATATCTAAAGAAATTTTGGACTTTTTGGACATATTATACGTAATTTACTTACCAATCAGATATTGCGTTGGTAAGTAAATTACTTACCGACGCATTAGTCCTAGCAACCAGTAAAAACAACGTAGCGATCTATAAATACTGTAGATACAGTAAATCATTAAAAATAGCATGGTCGTACAAAAATATCTATAAAACGGTTCAGAAATTTGACTTACCCTATATATGTAGAATATTATTTAGAAATAAATTTTACCCATGTGTTTTTTTTAAACTTTTTATTATACATATTTCATAATTATTTTTAAATAAACAAACGCATGCTTTTCATAATGCAAATGAATCAAAAACCATTTGCAAAAATTTGTAAAAATTGGGTACAAAAACTTTTTTAGTCATTTATCGTATTTTTAACATGCAAACCCTGGAATGCCCAAAAACTACTAAAATGTGCATTTGTATTATAGATTCACACCTTAAAACTTTGTATGCTATGGTATTAATAAAGAAAATAAATAATTTTAATAATAATGTAAATCTATAATCACAATATTATGAAATAAGCTAAAAGCGAAGCGTCGATTTAATCGGGTTTTATTTTTTTTTATTAATTTATTAATTGTCTGAATAGTTAGTAGATCATTTTTATACAGAGTTTTCTGTAATTCAAAAAGCCAACTAAAAACTAGCCAAGTTAATAATAACAATAATAATAAAGAACAATGCAATTCCGTAAAATGAAAGGGTGCAAAAATCAAACTTTAGGCTATGTAATGTATTCGAATAAACGCATTTATTTTTGTTAGGGGGTGTCCCTTTCATTTTGGGGATGGTACAGCTTTTTTATACAGTTAAAAACGTTTCGAGAGAGGACTGAAGAACACCCTGTATAAAAATTTTCGGAAACATTGAAATGAACATTGAACAAAACGCAAAATCAAACTTACTTTGACATTCTGCTTTAATAACTGTAGTTATAGCTAGCAATATTATCACTGAAAAATAAAAGCACAAAACAATATTAATTATTTCGGTTATTGTTTATGTAATAATAAGGAAGTTACAGAAGAAAGTTATTTTTCGGTTTGTTTATTCGATTAATTTTTTGTTATTATGCATAAATAAGCATCTACTGATTTGATAATTTTTCTTTTAAGGGTAGATTTTCCAATTTTTTATTTATAATTTTTTGAGAATTTTCATATTTTGGTTGGTGCAGTCTTTACCATTTAAAAGGCCTAAATTTTACAAAAATTTTATAAAAGTTATGGATATTTTTTCTATATTTTCAAAACGGTTAAAACCTTATTTATCGAAGTCCAACAGAGATATATACAGTGCTTGCAAATTTAAGTCCGACCGCGTTGGAAAGGATGGTTGTTCAATACCCGCGTGAAAAGAATAAGGATAGAATGCCAAACAGAATTTGATTGGTCAGAGCGTCAGGCGTGCGTATTGTAAGCGCCTTCTGTTTGGCGTTCTATCCTTGTTATTTTCACCCGTCCTTCTCAAACCGGTCGGACTTGGATTTGCAAGCACTGTATATACAGTATGTCTCAGTATCTTGGAATCATATGGAAAACTTTTTTATTATTAATTTTAGAAAAAAAAAGTTATTCTTCATAAAAAGTTCTGCATGGTGTAAAACTTAAAATGCAACCCACAAATATTATTTTTTTTTAGTCGTATACGGGGTATGTCAAAAAATATGAATTTGGCTCAGGAGTAAAGTACCTTTAAATTTGACAATATCGAAAATTGTTATAAAGAAAAGTTAATCAGAACTAAAAACTACGTTCGAATATGCAATTACATCCATTTACATTTAAAAAAAATATTTTTTCTTTTTTGTAAATTTAACTGTAACATGTAATCTAGGATTCACTGATAAACAAATGATTTGTTGATATTCTAAAACTTTTTGGCCTGCTAGATCCCCTGACTTAACTTAAGGTTTTCATGTTTTTTCTAATCATAACAGATAAATTTTCATTTAAAATAGAAAGATTAGTAAAAATTAACAAAACCTATTTTTTTAATGTAAATGTATGAAATTGCATATTTAAACGTAGTTTTTAGTTCTGATTAACTTTTCCTTATAACAATTTTTGATATTGTCAAATATAAAGGTACTTTACTCTTGCGCCAAATTCATATTTTTTGACATACCTCGTATACGACTAAAAAAATTAATATTTGTGGGTTGCATTTTAAGTTTTACACCATGCAGAACTTTTTATGAAGAATAACTTTTTTTCCTAAAATTAATAATAAAAAAGTTTTCCATATGATTCCAAGATACTGAGACATACTGTATAATGGTATTTTTAGGTATACAGAGTGTCCCGAAAATGGTGCACTAACACCATATACAGGGTGTCCCAGAAGTAGCGCACCACCTTGAAGGTGTATGATCCACAACCCCAATGAATCCCAGCTAATTGTAAAAAAATCTATCTTCGTTATTTAAAAAGATACATAAAATATAAAATAGCAACATTGGGTGCTAATAAAGTGGTAGTTTAATTAATCATCATGATAACAAATAACAGTTCGTTAATTTTACTTAGAGGTTATTTATTTTACAGAAGCAAATACAAGAGTCCCTTCCCGTAATGAACTAATATAACGATAAAATAAATCTATGAAAAAAACTAAACAAATATTAATATTACATTGTCACATTTGACAATGTACATACACAGGCTAAATGATTTTGTAAGCCTTTTCCACATACAACATACATATTAGTAATATGTAATATGATATTACAATACTCACTAAAGGAATACATATTCATATTTAACAGAAATGCTACGACAGAATCTTATTTTGAATTTTATCTGTCAATTATTGTCTATGGTGTGGTCAACAAATAACAATCAATTAACCAACTAATTGTTTTCGTAATCAATTGTTGCACATTATGTTGCCAAATGCATGCGTATTGTTAAAGTTAATGCATTTTTCACAAGATGAAACAATAATTCATAATAAAACCTTTGATTCTAATCTATATAATACGACTTGAAAAATTACCATCCTATTATTTTTAAGTTTAGAAACTTAATATTTATGCTCTTGCTGCTTTTAAATAATAAAAATAAATTTTTGTTTACAATTTTTAAGTATACTTGGGGGTCTGTAGATCATCCACCTTTAAGGGGTTAAGCGACTTCTGGGACACCCTGTATATCTGGGGTGCGGATTGTTAACGAAAGGTCGAAAAATTTATTAGGTAGTAGAAATTTTTAAAACAATTAAATGTTATATAAAGATAGTGCGAGCTATCTAGAGCCCCTCTAAAGTCTCTTTATATTATATACAGGATGTTTCCTAATCGATAGCTGATTCTGAATGGGCTCAATCCTTTAATGAAAAAAGTTTTTATAAACTTTGATCAACGCCTCTTTATTTTGGTGATAAAAGGTGTTCAAAATTTAAAAAAAAAATGCCTATAAAGTAGACGAACTTCAATTCAATTTAATTTTACTAGAAAACTGTGTCTGGTTAACACTCAAAGTAGCACAAAGTCAATACACAAAAAAGTTAGGGTTAAACCTTTTAAACTCCCACACTGTTTGAGACGCCTCTGACTCTTTTATCTCCCCAGGTTTTGGAAATATTTGGAAAAAAACATTTTTAGGGGCGGACTTTTAAGGAACTCTAGCTCATTTGGGATTTGTTTCTCGCACTATGTTTATATGACATTTTTTATTATTTTGAGGTCAACCACCTGGTAAAATTTTCGACAACCTTTCGTTAACACCCTGTATATGGTAGTTATGTTTATGTATAAAACAATTTGAAAAAAAATTCCAATAAGTACTTTTTCAGTTATTATGCATTAAAAGTTAAAAAAAAATGGCAAGGCTGTGTCTCTAATTTATAAGCTTATAAGCTAAATATTAATCTTAAAACGGTTGCTATGGAAACAATTAAAATGATTTTTAGACAGTTTTTATCAAAAATCATAATAACTTTGTTTTTATTATAAAAAATTGTAATGTAACAAGGTTGCAAAAAAACGAAACATTTATGTTTATGTTTTTGAGTAGGTATGCATATTTAAAACAAAGGTTTGTTAATATCAAATATGTAAAATTTAATAATAATTATGTTTGTTGTTTTGGTATTTTTGTAATAAATTATATTATTTTGGTTGGTTAAATAAATGTATTATTTTTCAACATTTTCGGAAGCAACATAAGTCTAATTTCGAGAGTTTAAACACATTTTTGTTTCGATGTTTCTTTTAAACTACCTATATGTGTATAGTCTTATAGGTTATAAAACCTATATAGTCTTATAGGTTATAAAACCTATAAATATATTAAATTTTTTTATTTGAACCTAAAATTTTCAACATTTTTTTAATGACTAATAAAGCTTTTATATATCGGTGACTTTATGCAAACAAACGCAAGCAAAATAACTCAAATTTTAACACATTTTTGATTTGAAGTTTTAAACTATATAGGGTTTATAACATCTATAACTTGTTGTAAAACCTATAGGCATTATTATGTCGCCTAGATATAATAATATATATGCTAAGATATTAAACGTTTAAATAATAGTTATTTATGTATCAAGGCAGTAAAGTCGTATTTTTTATCACGAATGTGGAAATAACCACGTGAGTGATAACCACGTGAGTGATAACCACGTGAGTGATAAAAAATTATTTTATTGCCGAGGTGTATATTAAATTTTATCCGAAATCACATTTAATAATCCTAATAATTAATATTGATAATTAAATCAAATGTCATTTGATGATCAAATCAAATGTCATTTGAATGTAGTGAAGTGTCTCCGTATACTTTTTGTTGCGACGGTTATTATATATTTGCCCGCCGCGACGATTTTTTAATCTAATTAATAAAATTAACTTATTATTATTATTACATTATTTATTTTTAATAAACAGCATTTTAAGAAAGGGTCCAATCGACCTCCGAGACGGTGCTTTTTTAAAATATTATTTAGTTGCTGCTGAGGAGCAGTAGACACATCTTAAAATGTATAATGGGTTGCATACAATACTTGTATTAAATCGTATAAAGTAGAACTTTACTGCCGATTTCTTTTACTTTTATTGACTACTTTACCTACTGCCGATTTCGGATAAAATTAATTATTAAATTTTGGTTTTCATTTCTTAGGTACAATAAATTTCGAATTAATCATCATGTTAGATGTTCGAAATGCTCCCCTTTCACATTTTGACAAAAAAATAGTCTGTTTCTAATTTCAGTTCCCTCATTTGCAAACGTTTCTTGTGTAATGTTCGCACATTCACGTCCAATCCGTTGTTTTAGATCATCAATTAATTCCGGTTCGGTGATGTAGACCTTCGATTTTAAATAACTCCACAAAAAAAACAAATAGCGTTAAATTAGGAGACCCATCCGGCCATTCAGTAGGCCACGCCTACCAATCTACCTATTCGGATAAGTCTTATCACATCCCTAAAATATTGTGCGGGCGCTCCATGGATGCATCTTAACAATTGCTGGGATATTACTTACATGTCAAATTCGTCAGGATAACAATATGGTTTCCCATTTGTCCCTCCCATAAATTAGACTTTTTGTTGGTACTGGGTATGACCTTTACGAAAAACATGTATGTTAACAGCTAGTAACGTACATTTTGCCGATTAACAGTGCCATTTAGAAATAAGTGCATTCATCACTAAAACAAATAAATTGCAAGTAGGTACAGGGGATTTTGTATTATGCACTCACATAACTTCACAAAATTGTACTCTAGGATCCGGGTCATCTTAAGGTGATGTTATATTTTTAATTTAAAGGGTTAAAATTTGTTATGTTTTAAATATTTTACAAGCCCCTTCTGCAACTGCCGCCGCGGCAATTTTCCATTTAATATGGAAATGACTATATCCCAAAAACTTCTCCACTTTTATAATTTTTGACGGTATTTCCGGATTCAGGGGAAAATTTTACATAAGAATTGGCTTTTAAAT